ACTCCCTACTAGATTCACTTAACAGTATTATATTTCGTTCATATAATAACTCATAATGCACAAAATTTATATCATTTAAAGAACAGAATTATCTAATTGTTGCCACACGTTCTATTCAAATACTATAATAAAGCTAGAATGATGTATAAAAGAAATTAAGCAAACAAAACAAAAAAGAAACAGCTTTTCAGAGACGATTGAGTATTTCTCATTCAATTAATTCACTTCTTACTTCGCGAGAAGGCAAAAATACATAAAAACTCAAAATATCTATATTAAAAATTACGAAGTAAATCTTAAACACTTATTTCCATGAAAAAATTCCAGAAAGGATTAAGCATGATTTAATTGGCAATAATAAATGAAGGCGTTATCTTGTTGTTGCGAAGATAAGTTTCTCTAGATTGGCAACAAATCCACTAGTCTGCTGTTTCAAATGTAAACAATCAATGGCCGCCGTAAAAAAAAAGGCTTAGCAGCACTTGAACAACTTTAAAATTGTTGATAATTCTAAAAATATTGCACACATATTTACTAAAGGCATAAAAACCTTAACCGGAAGATAAAAACATAATTCAATCATTTTTAAAGCAACAAATGTACAATTTTACAAACATATACGAGGAAAACTGAGATCACTGATCCGGGTAATAGAGTGGGATATATATATAAATATAGTATATACGTTTGGTGCGGCCGATTGCAAACCAAAATACGAGGTGCACGTCTACAAGTTATAGCAGTCCTATATACAAAATTTCAACGTTCTGAGGCTACTCGTTTTTGAGTTATGCGAGATACGTACGTACGTACATACGTTCGTACAGACGCACGAAAAATTCTCTTCAGAATTAATTTTAAAGCAGTTTTATAATTTTTTTGGAGGAAAACGAGTCTTTTATTCTGTCCTTACGTACAGATATCACGCAAAAACATCGTTAAATTGCATTCGATAGCGGTCAAAATGGATATTTTCGTTGAAATATGCTGCCTGAAACTTTTCGCTATTACAATACTTCCTTTTTACTTCGTACAAGGAAGTAAAATGATCAATGGCTTTATGTTGCTGAGCTAAAATTTACCTCCGAATGTAGATCATATAAGGTTTCTTTAAAGTTTGTTTATTTATTATGGTAATGTTATCATTTGCTCCGCTTCAGCAAGCACAATAGTTTAAGATTTCGTTGTTTTTGTGCATTGCCTTGGATGGCTTTAATTAAGGAAAATACCTTATTTTTGCATTTGACAACACTTATAAAACGTCGTCTTTCGCAAAGCAGGGCTGTGCTTATTACCGAACGGCATTCTTCCTCGTGCAATTATATCGTCGTTTTGTTGGATAGATGTCGAGAACTCGAAATTATGACTTAGAAGCTGTAATAATTGCTTTCCTGTTCTCATACATTACTATGGGGAAAGTTTCAGTAACTCCCAAGTATCCGAATTAATTAGAATCAGAACTCATCTAGGTATTTAAAAATTTGGGATAATTCCCTCTCCACCCGCCTACATTTATTGTGATGGAACTGACGAAATTTTATTTTATTATTTATTGACGCTGCCAGGAAAATGTTACTATTTTCTCTACGGCAATTTCGTATCCTGAAATAGAATTATTTTTGCATTTTATTTGCTGGAAATTTAAGGTGGTCGTGACGCGCAGACGATATAGTGGTTACGGGAGCTTACTACGGTACCAAAGGGCTCGGATTCGAATCCCCGAGAAGACATGGTTGTTTTTAAATGTATAGTGTTATCAGGACTGGTATTCTTCTTTACTTGCTTTGGAAACATGAACTGTCCTGACTCGGAGCAGGGAGCTTACTCAAGCTATGTTCGATAAATTGTGAAGTAGACAATACAATAAAGTAAATAACAATACAATAAAATAAAATAAACAATACAATACGGAAAATAAACAATACAATACAATACAATAAAGGGTTTCGTATACCCTTCCTGATCACAGGAAGGGTATTTTTTTTATTTTTCTATCTTTACAGAGCTTTCCGGAACTTCGGAATACAGAGAGACCAACCACTTGTGGTCTGAACGTAAGAATATAAAAATACTAACTAAAACTCTAACTAAACTAACTTTGGATTAATATACAAGTGCCTACTTTAAGATTGGCCGTTAATTAACAAAAAGCCGTATGTAGTACAGAGAGCTGCTAAAACTACGATACGTTTAAAATTATCAAGAGAATTAAACCTCTGGCCTTGAAGGCAACCAGCAAACGAGTAAAACTACTGTGGCCAGCGGCCTGCTTCTAATAACTCCTTCCTCTCTCTTGCTTGGCAAAAAGGCCACAACTTAAGTACTTGGCGTTAGCAAGACAAATTTGCATAAATAAGTTAAAAGCTTTTAATTCTGGCCGGAAGTAGAAAATAAGAAGTGATAGTAAAGATTTAAAATAAAATAAACGTTAGTAAAACTTAGGATCCTTACAGTGTCCGTGTGGCTGGAAATATAAGGTGGTCGTGACGCGCAGACGATATAGTGGTTACGGGAGCCTACTGCGGTACCAAAGGGTTCGGATTCGAATCCCCGAAAAGACTTTTGTTTTTTTTTAAATGTATAATATCCGTGTGGCATGAGGAACGCTCTAAATATGCGGCGAGCCGAAAGTCCTCTCGTGTGGTTTGGTGGAAGGGGAGAGGGGTGGGAGACCCCCGGGCCACCCCTCAAAGTTCTGGTGGAGTCCTCTCCCTTAAAAATTCTGGTGGAAAATAGAAGTCCAGCCTCTCTTTGCAGTCGGCTCTGGCAACCATTCTTCCATGTAATTTGAACAGGACAACAACACAACAACAATAGGGCGGTCATAAAAAATATTTCCCTACATATGAACCTCTAGCTGCCTGTCCGCAAAACCAACCGAAACGAAATTTCAGATATTGTTATCTGAATGTATATGCTCGAGATCGTAATGATTTTAAAGAAGAGAGCTCTCCCGGTTAAAGTTACAGTGAAAAAAAAATTGAAATTTTCGAATGCCAACACCCATTTTTTTCCTGTGCATATTAATTAGCGCATTTAAAAATCATAAGTGGCATTGGAATGATACACGAATTTATATATATATAAAGAAGAACATTGTAAACAACCAGTGACAGCAAAAGAAAGGAGAGATGTCGTCACATTTAATCGGGCGCCAGTGTATGATTCGAAACTCGAACCTTCCGATGCTTGACAGTCGCATTATCATCTGTACCATGAGAACACGAACGAGGAAAACGATTAACTTCTAATAAAATAATTGAAAAATACTGTAGTAAATTTCATTTAGGATGAGATCATATCATAGCAAGTATTTTTACCGACTGCTTAAGACTGCTATTTTAATGTATGATTTTTTTTTTTTTTTTGCTTCGTGTCTTAAACTTCTATAGAATAAAACTTTTAAGCTCAGCATAGTCGTTTACTTCATTCCAGCATTGAGCTCGTATAGCGAATTTCTCGTATCTAGAAACAAGCTTCCCCATTCAAAATAATGAAAATCCAGTTAATCCGTTCCACCCCCCCCCAAAAAAAATATCAGCATAAAAATCAGTTTTTCTAATAAATGACACTGGTAAATAATATAGCCGTAGTTTAACTTTATGACTTTATGATGGCTTCCGACAAATGATAACTTCCGACATCGATTTTTTTTCCCTGCTTCTCGTTAATCCACAGCAACAATAGCTTATCAGCATCTAGGAGTTTTGGACGGTTCTTAGAAGAAACGGTAACTCTTTTGGCTACATCAAGTTTCTTAATTTCTTTTTGCTTCTTCAGAATAGTACAGATTGTTGATGTCGAAAGGCCGGAAGTCTTCGCCGATTCCGTGACTGTTACACCACGCTCATGTTTATCTATGATTAATTTCAACGGCTATAGCTTCCTTATTCTTCTTTGCAGCACTATCTGAGGCAACAATCTTCTTGGAAGACATCGTCAAACAATTATTTTCAGGTTAAATGTAATAAACAATTGACTCACAAGCGCACAAACACGTACATCAAAGAACACTGAGTGATCTGACGAGGAAATTTCCCCGAGTCGAGCCAAATCGGGAAATGGCCCCACGCATACCAACAGCCTTGCTCGTTGCTCTTTGCTCGATTCAGTTCTCGTATTTAGAGACAAATCTTTCGCTCATACTTTCCTCGTATCTCGTATATAGACGTGCTAGTATCTCGAGGCTCCACTGCATTAAACTGGAATCTGAATATGCAGATATTCTGTTAGTTTTAGTTTTTTTTTTTTTTTGTGCTTTTCTTTGTTTTGATAACTAACTCCACTCTGATTTTTAAAAGTGTTTCAAACGTTAAATTGGCGTGCTAAAATGTAGATCAAGTTGAAATGTTTTGTTTTGTTAGTATTCGTTTTTTAAATATTTTTAACCTTTTGAAGACGGGATGGCCATTATAGTAGCCATAGAGTCCTCTCTTTGAAAAGACGGAGTTGTCCACTTTAGTGGCCATGTCTTTTTTCCCCATTTTCCAGGCTGAAAAGTGGGGTGAAATGTCAAATTTGACGTCCCTAGGGTTTTAACCACGTATCTTGTAGGGTCATTAGGTTAATTGGTTGCAACCAATTAACCTAATGACCCTACAAGATACGTGAAACAAACAAAAGATGAAAAATATGCAACCGCCGGGAATCGAACCACGGACCTGTGAAATACCGGCTCAGTGTGGAGAACCACTACACCACGAAGGCTCGCTAGGGAAGTGCGAGATACACCTTATAACATCTTTCAAAGATCTTCCTTTTGCGACATAGATGCACCACTCTAGGATCCATTAAAGTACACACAAGAATCTTTGTTGCAAATAGGAGGTGATTTCTTAAAGGGGGGAAAGTATTCGTTTCCAGATTCCCCGTTCTTTGGTAGCTTTTACTGCTACCAAAGCCCCGGCCTCAAAAGGTTAACTACTACACTTGTTCTTGTTGTGTTAGAGTGTAATGCGAAGTTTTTAACTTGAAATTTATTTGTTCATTTGTTTCCACAGGTCATGCCGCTCTAACTTTACGTAGCCGGCTGCGGTGCATCATAGTACGACACAGCGAAACCGGGGAAAAAATTAACAAACCCCACGCAAGCTTCCTGGTAAATATTTTGCATGGCATTTTTTGATTTCGGTAATCTTTTGTAATTCATTTTTGACAAATATGTTAATTTATATTCTCTCATTTATAAGTTTTTCTCAGCTTTTATTACAAATATTTCATCTAAATTCACTGGTTATCATAAATTAAGGAAAAATCACAAAAATCACGATTACTGAAAAAGTTACATGTAGAATTTAATGAAACTTACCCACAATGTACAACACATAGTAAGGTATCAAATAACATAAAAAGAAATTACCAGACAAATATGGTATTATAAAAATTAGCACATGTATAAAATGAACAAATCGAAGGTGTCAGTTTGCTATAGGAAAAGTACCTTGAATATGGAATATGATCGCCTTTAGAAGCAATACAGCACATACAGCGATGTGTGATGCTTTCAATTATGCGGTCTATCAGTTCCATAGGAAGCGAGAGCCATTGCTCGTGCAAAGCAGTTGCAAGCCCGACAAGGGTCTGAGGGGCGGATTGAGAGCAGCTAGACGTCTCTCTAAAGCATCTCCAAACGTGCTTCGATAGGAATTCAAGGTCCGGGGATCGAGCTGGCTACTCCATGCCCATAATTGTTCCCTGTTGAAGATAATCATCTACGATGCGAGCCCTGTGTGGTCTTGCGTTGTCGTGCTGTAACAGGAAAGCATAACCTATTGCCCCGGCATATGGGCGCACATAAACATCAAGGATGTCATCTCTATAAATCTGAGCATTCACGGTTTCCCTTGGAAAGACATGGAAGTCTGTGCGTCTACCCAAAACAGATGCCACCCCAAACACAGACACTGCGCCTTCCGTATGCATGTCTTTCACGGATGTTTGACGGATGATAACGGGTTCCAGGTTCTCTCCATATCAAATAACGCCTACTATCGCTTTCTAGACTAAACCTGGACTCATCCGTAAAGATAACCGCCCTCCATTGATCAGGCGTCCAGTGGACATGTCGTGCCCACTGAAAACGGTCCCTCTATGGCGTGACGTGAGCGGGATACAAATGGCTGGTCGCCTCGCATACAGCCCACCTTCGTGAAGCCTTCTACGCACAGTTGACGTTGGCACAAACCTTTCGGTGGCTGCAGCAAGGGAGGATCTAAGAAGAGTTGGAGTAGCGGTTCTATTCCTGCGTGCACATAATATCAAATATCGGTCATCGAAGCTCGTCGTAGCAGTTGGCCGTCCTTGGCTGAACCTCCTAGATGCCGAATCTGTGGTTTGAAATTTCCTCCAAAGTCTATGAACCGCAGAAGGACTCACATTTAGCCATCTGGCCACTTCTGTTTGACTTTGTCCTGGCTCTAGTCTCCCAATGGCTCTGCATCGCAGTTCTGCAGGCAAATGATGTCTGGAGGTCATTGTTACGAATTGGCTATCTCAGATTTCTGATGTCACTGTGATAGTGAAATATGTGGGCTTGCTCTCAAACATGGACTTTTATGCTCCTCGCAGATGACGTATTCGGAAAGCAGCGCCACTAATTTGCATATCGCAGTTTTACTCAGCAACTCTTACTTGGTAACATATTCAAATTTTACACGGTTTGGCTTATTTTTGAGGGAGTTATCGATATTTTTGTGATTTTTTTCCCTTAATTTATGATAACCAGTGTTCTAACTCATCTAAAATAACCATAAATAAATAAATTCAAGTGCTGCAGTTGTGCCTACGCATCTGCGATTCAAAGTAGCAAAGAAAATAAATGCCAAGCACCATTTACAGTTATACAACTACACTAGTACTTAAAACATGGTCACATTTAATCGGGCGTTGCGAAAAGTGTCAAAGACAATATATCGTTGTGTGTCCGATGGTGACTTGCTATTCGCGTTGCGAAAGAACTCTACCTCAAAATAAATTTATAAAATGTTATAAATAGTCTCAGCTTATTGCAGAATAATTTTAAAAATTGTATTTGGGTTTTTCATAACGTTTTATGTTGATGTTATTCGTATGATGTTAAACAAAAATAGAAACAGAATTGGGATTACTTTATTTCGTAATATGTTGCTTTTTAGAATTTTGTAAATATTATTCTTAGTTTGGTTTTTATGAGCTTTTCCCCAAACCTTAGCTCATGAAACTGGCCTGTTATTCCTGTACGTACGATACTTTCGCTAGGCACTAAAAGTGTCAACTCCTCTGATTTCGGCCGTAATTTAGCATGTAATGAATTGGAAGACATGAAATTTATATTACAGGGGCACAATGCAAAACTTACAGTATTAGGTAAGTGTAGTAAGCGATAAGCGACGGAGGACGTGGGTACTGTCCCTTTACCATTTGGGTTAATCAGTACAGCACCACGTCCACCTTTATCTTACATTTCGTATTACATTATATATTACGATACATGATTTACACATTGCATTATATGCTACATATCAAATTAATGCCTTACCCTAACATTACATTAACTTCACATCACTTATTACATTAAAAATTCTTTTCTAATAAACCCTATATTGGTACATTATAACAGGGTTATCTTGCACAAGATTCGCATTAGACACAGGATACGCATTATATCATTATTAAACACTGGGTACGCATTACATTATATACGGGGAAATTAATGATACATAGGAACATTATACACAATAGGGGGGTTATAAGCACGATACGGGTTAAATTATTCACAGGAAATTTGTTATACACAGATATTGCATTATACTGGATAAATTATACACATGATAGGCTTTATACATTGGATGCATATTGAATTGTCATCTGGACATGCCAATTGTAACCGTTACTCGATACACTGCCTACATCGTTATGCATAATACCATTATACAGTTTGCATTCACATTAACAAGATAGTTTATCAGTACATACTACATATTATATATTGCGATACATGGTTTACACATTACATTATATTCTACACATCAGATTGACAAGACGAAATCGCCTTACCTTAACATTACATTAACTTCCCAATACTTATTACATTAATTTTTTTTCCTAATATACCGTATACTGGTAACAGATACATTTATCATCAGATTGTAATAATGTTGTTTTGCACTGGCTGCGCATTAAACACAGGATGCGAATTAAATTATACACAGGGAAATTAGTGATACGTAGGAAAAACATTATGCACAGAAGGGGGTATATACATGATGCGTGTTAAGTTATACGCAGGGGAATTTGTTATGCACAGGTGAAACATTATGCAGGATAAATAGGAAAGTGTAGTAGCAAAAAAATGAATAGGACGCACACAGTACGAAACGAATAAAAAGGCTTGATTGGAAGAATGGCGTTGGTACAGTAAACTGTGTGGCCTACAGAAGCAACAACAAGCCAAAGGGGGATAAGGGATATGTCCTTCCTTAAGCTTCTGTCGGTATTCAACACCAGATTATCTAACAATTCTTGGGACATGAGTTCAGATTCTTCAAGGAATATTTCTTTCAGTTGTCTGATATTCCCTACACGGTAAGATCGTTCCATAAGGCGTCTCTTTAAACTACCCACACATGTTGGATGGAATTTAAATCAGAGGAGCACGCTGGTCGATCCATTGCGGATGTCTTCACTTTCCAGGAGCTCCACAACAGTATGAGTCTTGTGGGGCAGTGCAATGTTATCCATAAATACAAAATCGGGACCAATGGCACCTCGTAAAAGATGCAAGTAGGGGAGGATATAACTTTATCACAGCAATGATCTCCGGTAAGTAAATCTCTGTCGAAAATGTACAGCTTCGTCCGTCCGTTCATCATCATGCCTCCCCATACAAGCACGCCAGGATCACCCAGACGGTATCTTTCCCTTATGCTAGTGGTATGAAAGTGTGTCCCTATTTCTCTCCGCACCAGCTGGTGGCAAGAATCGTTTTGCACGCTGAAACGACTCTCATCTTAAAGAGAACAGGACTTCATTCAAGAGGTGTCCAGTCTTTGTGTTTCCTACACAAATGTAAATGGTGCCGCAGATAGGCTGCGGTAAACGGTATGCAGCATTCAGGACGGCGGACGAATAGGCCATCTTTATAAAGCTGTCTGCCACAGTAAACCGAAACAACTGTCGTTCGGATACTGTCCGCGACGTCTGAGCATGTTGCCCGCAGTGTTTGGTTTCGAACACTTTTCGCCTGCAGGATATATCGGTCATCAGTCACCGTTATTTTGCTCGGCCGATCACCACCAACTTTTTTTACATCTGTGTCTGTAGCCTCGAATGATTTTCAAGCTCGTCAAACAATACTTTTATCAATTTCAAACTCTTGGAGACAGACGTCAAACTACACCCATTTGAAGCTTACCAATCATACTACCTGAAATCCTGAAATCCGCTGAGTTGGCTTCCGTCCCAGAGTATTACATAATCCATACAGAATTGGTTACCAACTCAGCAGTTTAAGGCCCTTGATGATATTAATTGCACTGTACTTTTTAGGAAGCCGTAGCTCTTACCCATCGTACATAATACATGCATACTTACTAGTACATAATACAAAAATAAAATGTAAAACCAAAAATGTGATGCAATTACAGAATACAAATACATAAAACATTCTTAATACATTCTCGAATAAGTACTAAAACATAACTGAGTTATTAAAACATTATACAAAAGTGATTACATCTTATGCTAAAGTGCAGGATCGCCCACTTATTTGTTTGGCGCTTTTTACAAGAGTAAGAAGAATTGAATTTTGTCAATTTTCTTTGACTTTTTAAGTGAAAATAGGTCGATGTGTACATAGATAAAGTCAAGAGTGTGCGGAATGTCATTTTTATGCAATTCTGGGATGTTTTTTAAGTGAACAATAGGTCGACGTGTTACATGGATAACCGTGTGTCTGCAATTCTTAAAAACGCGGCAAGCAGAGGTTTGCGATTCTACTCTTTCTCCCAATTTCGCACCTAATCTTTCGTCATGATTAAGCATATTTTGTTCCATAAAAGTTCTAGTATAAGCGTTATTCGGCTAGCAGATTGTTGGAAAAAAATGTTGAGTTAAAAAAAAAAAAAAAAAAAAAAAAAAAAAAAAAAAAAAAACATGCCTTTACTTCGTGAAAACAAAATGGCGTCCAAAACAAAACTAGCAGGTTGCTGTAGCAGGAGGTCACCAAATTTTCGCCAAAAAATCTCCAAGTTACCAAAATGTAAAGATTCACCCTATATTATTACAGAAATGCATTATACAGCATGTACAAAATACAATATATTATCAATCCTTACTTCTTCACGAAGTATTTTTACATAGTAAATGCATTATACAACAGGTACATGTACAGTGTTTCTAAGAAATCAATCCTACTTTCTTAATGAGTATTTTTGCATTCCTATGTGAAGTACTAATAATGTATCAGTATTTGAAATCTGTTTCAAATACTGATACGTTACACACATGCAAATTTACCTAACAGTTATATAGTACTTTATCCAATCTCCTACACTTTACAATATTCTTGGACCATAATACAAAACAAAGCCAAAAACAAAACTCGCAAGTACATTATATAAAGTTCATTATAACAAATACGCTTGTACCTAGTACCATTACATAGTTACCAATATTTAATACAATTGCAAGTATTATATTACAACTAGTGCGTTTGCGGATAAATGACAGAAGTGCATAATTAACAAATACAGTTTATTGATATTTATTATCCACTTATTGATTAAATACTCATACATTACTAGATAATTGCACCTTACAATATCTAGTACATATTATAATCGCTATTACATTATACAATTACTATGCCCAATATTTCATCTACATATAACTTGAATAGATATGATTCTGATTACATACTAAAATTTTGTTCAGTTACCACTTCTTTTTGACATAAACTGAAACAAAAATACATATTCCATCTTACAAAATTCAGTACATTATACAATTGTAACAAGTCCATTACATTATGCAATTATACAACTGCTAATACTTAAACAGTTATTGTACCTTATAACGCAACCTCGGACTAATGATCTAACTACTAAATAATTACTCTAACTACTAAATAATTACTCTAACTACTAAATAATTACTTTAACTACTAAATAATTACTCTAACTACTAAATAATTACTTATATAATAGCTAAAATGTTAAAAGACCCTTACAAATGCCAATACTAATGTGCAATTTTCAAAAAAATAATTACCAATATATAATACAATTACTGATACATTACAAGGCACGTTCAGTTGCAAAAACATTATGCAGTGTATTGGTACCAGAGCACAGTACAAATCTACTGCCATAGACATGTAGCATTCTAATTTTCTATAATCTTTGTACAGCTATAAATGGGCTATCCTACATATTCATTTACAATATTCCCTTAATGAACTGATTATGCTAAAACTGCTTGCCTAATGGTAAGAGTATTTATCTACACACCAGTCAATAATGTTTTTGAGCCGGGTAGGTTGCATACATATTGTATTGGAGGCTCTTGTACCACATGGACTTATTATTATCACACGGCTGTCTGAGTCTCTGACATCTAAGTAGATTGCAGCTAAATGCAAAGAGGTCCGGGCTGCCTTCTTCACCACATTCACAAGAAGATCTCTAATCTTAAAGCGGTAGAGAGAAGAAGGAAAAGAGGCCGTGGCCTGTCAGAAAGGGAGTGGTATAGTAAGGCAGAATATGTCTGTCCAGGGAGACCCTAGGGATGTACTTATATACTCTTCGTCTCGTGGCGCTTCTATTCCATTCGTCTTGCCATAAGTTGAGACATAGTTCGTTGCTTGAGAAAAGAGACCGGTTTCAGAGCCGGTATTTCTGGGAGTGTGATAGAATATGCCGCTTCTTTGGCAATATGGTCAGCCATTTCATTGCCATATATGCCAACATGTGCGAGGATTCAGTGCAGATGAGGTCTATTGCCTGAGTGGAATACTTGTAACAGCAGATGTCTAATATTATTCACTAATGGACTGCGCGAAGCAGCCCCTGCTACTGCAGTTAAACTTGAAGCTGAATCCGTATAGATGTGATAAGATGCCAGACTTATTTTCGACAAATAAATTATGGCTGCTGTAATCGCTAGCAACTCTGCCTGAAAAGCTGAGTCAAAAGTACCCAGTTTCCTTTGCCACTGGTAAGTAACTCTATTGTTTTCGATATAGCAGATGCCACTGCCTGTTCCTTCTAGGGATTTAGAACCGTCTGTATATATACCATCTGCACTATTGAGGTCATTTGGTTTCATAAGTGAGATGTGTTCCTCCAGGCTATTTGCCGCTGGATGGCAGGGATCTTCTGGGCTATGATGTTCGTAATCTGAATTGACAGTATTCTTGTCCCCATAGATTAACTGTGATTCCAAGTCGGGAAACCTTCACTATCGTAGCTTCTCGCTCTGTGACTAAGTCAAGAGGAGGCGTTCCCGCTATTACTTGCAGTGCCGCCGTCGGAGATGTGCGATATGCCCTGCAGACCATAAGGAGTTACTGACGCTGGATAGAATTAAGCATACGTCTCATGTGTGATGTGACATGTGTATCCCAGACCGCCGCTCCATATAAGACAATCCCTTCGGCCACAGTCGTGTACCAGATCTTAAGAAGCTTGCATGGGATTACCCATGCAAGCTTCTTAAGATCTGGTCATGCTTTTTAAGATCTGGTAGTCATTTTCTGGTAGTAGTGAGGTAGTCATTTTCATGCTCTTAGTCAATGCAGTAATTCGTTGTTTCACGGACAATCATTCTACCACGTGTAAAAGCAGCTTGACATTTTCTTGTAGACATACCGCAGGTACAATCTCACTTTCACCTGCAGAAGAATGACTGAAAATTCGCCTTCATATCCTCGCGTTTTGTGTGCTCTGACGTATTCTCTGACGCCATGATGCTGATATTTGGCCACCTTTACGGATATGCATCACCTTTCTACTGCACATCATCTTCGTACGGATATGCATCACCTTTCTGCTGCACATCACCTTCCTACGGATATGCATCACCTTTCTACTGAGTTCTCGTTTCACTGTGCTGATCGCAAAAAGCTCTTACAATTTCATGGTTGTATGTTGGAAAATGAACTTGTTGCTTAAGGCTTAAGCTGTGCACACTAGTGTATAAGCGAAGCGGCAACAGTCCGTAACATAGCGGAAATATAACACTAAACACGCGCAATAGTATCCTTCCAAGTATATGTACGATTGTCTCGGGCCTATGAGAAGTACAAATGGTTACTGCGGAAATTATCTGTACCCTCAAGTTACAAGATAGCCCTGAAACTCCTAGCTCACACCGCAACTAGAAGTCATAAATGTGTTGATAGGGAATATTGGCTATCAATAACCAGACAGTATTTATTTCTGCACCCATATATATATGTGTGTGTGATGTACCAGCTTTTGTCAGGAATAAATAGATTGTTGAAGAAACATAAATGTAGTCGTAGCTTAAATTATTAGACGATAAGTTTAAAAAACAGGATCCATTTATTATTGGTCAGGAGAAATAGCAGTTACAAAATCAGATATCCGGAGTAAATAAAAAAAGAACTACTAATAACATTTTGTATGAAGTTTACTGCATCGTGACATTTAAGAAAAAGCCCCGATATTCTTAAGCGAGTCCTTTTATAGCCTCTGGAAATGCGGAGCTTCCAAGAAATGACATCAGCCTCGTCAGCCATCCAGTTCGCTTTAAATATTTCCAGAACATTCTATAACAGTACGTGTAGAACAAAAGGGGGAAAAACAACTTGACTACGGGGCTCTGGATTTAATCACGTACTTTCAAATAAGAGAACGTCGCCATAAAAATGAAAAGAACATACAGTTAGAATTTTTAAGTATTCTTGATATGGATTTTATTATTAGATATATATAATTTTTAAAAAAATTTTTTAGCTGTTTTTTCTAGCAAACATTCTATTCCCATTGTAACACTTTGCTTAGTCTATTCTTAAAATTATATTATTCTAATGTTATTTTGCTAACGGTTATTTTCTAAATATATCCGAATTATATCGTATTTGAGAGAACTGTGTTTTTCATCATAGTCGTGTTTTAAATTTTGGGATTCATTTATGTACTAAAGTTGTCGATTTTAGTATAATGTTGGAACTTAGAATTTTGTTTTTCATATCTGCTCATACATCGTATATAAATTTTGGAACAAATTTTAAAACCGATTTTTTTAAATTTCTTTAAAAGCTTTTATTTATTTCTACTGTTTAAAAAACCAATATTTCTACATCGCCTCTTTGGCTTTGTAGTGAAATTTTTAAGTGAATTTCAAGCAAGATTTTTGATATGAAGGAAACTTTCTTACCGAGGGTGAAAGAATGGAAATTCTAAAACTTTCTACATTAAAAAAGACCAGTAGTTAAGAAAAGCAGAAAATATCTAAAATTATTTAATTATATACGCAATAAGTTATACATATAAGAATGCACATACAAAACATTTACACAAAATAAATGATACATATAAGAATATACATACAAAACATTTACGTAATATTTAATTCTAATAACGAACATGCGTCCATTGTTATTAGAGAAATTGTTACTAAGAATTTTTATTGTGAGTTTATTAAAATAATATAAATATCTCTTTATTAATTCAGGTGCTAAATGAAGTCGTTGTGGATCGGGGTCCTTCTCCCTATCTCTCCAACATCGACCTATACTTAGATGGAAAACACGTGACCACGGTGCAGGGCGATGGTATGAACATTACGTTTCACTCTGTGTGTCATTCAGTTGTAAAATCTGTTTATTTAAAACAAAGGGTTATTTGTTAAAAGCAAAGTACAAGAGCAACTGTAAAGTCAGTACGATTTCTGTGAACAAGGAAGCTTGTTAAATGAGCCATACCTTCGTTTAGTGTCGAGATCAGTTGCTAACAGAATATGCTGACCGTTTCACCATAAATTCTCACATGAGAAGAATGTCTTCAATTTCTTGCACGATGAGTTTTTAAAGCAAAGAGTTTTTGAAAGGAAAGCACAAGACTAACTGTAGAATCATTAAGATTTTTGTAAACAGGAAGCTTGTAAAATAAGCCATACCTTCGCTTAGAATCCAGCTCAGTTGCTAACAGAATGTGATGACCGTTACACCACAAAGAGTTTTTGAAAGGAAAGCGCAGACCAAGTGTAAAATCATTAAGATTTTTGTAAACAGGAAGCTTGTAAAGTAAGCCATCATTCGCTTAGAATCCAGCTCAGTTGCTAACAGAATGTGCTGACCGTTACACCACAAAGAGTTTTTAAAAAAAGCACAAAACTGTAGAATCATTAAGATTTTTGTAACAAAGCTTGTAAAGTAAGCCACCTTCGCTTAGAATCGCCAGTTGCTAACAGAATGTGCTGACCGTTAACCACAAAGAGTTTTTTAAGGAAGCACAAGACCAACTGTAGAATCATTAAGATGTTTTAACAGAAGCTTGTAAAGTAAGCCATACCTTCGCTTAGAATCCACTCAGTGCTAACAGAATGTGCTGACCGTTACACAACCAAGAGTTTTTTAAGGAAAGCACAAGACCAACTGTAGAATTATTAAGATTTTTGTAAACAGAAGCTTTTAAAATAAGCCATACCTTCGCTTAGAATCCAGCTCAGTTGCTAACAGAATGTGAGACCGTTACACCACAAAGTTTTGAAACGAAACACAAGCCAAACTGTAGAAATCATTAATATTTTTGGTAAACAGGAAGCTTGTAAAGTAAGCCATCATTCGCTTAGAATCCAGCTCAGTTGCTAACAGAATGTGCTGACCGTTACACCACAAAGAGGTTTTAAAAGAAAAGCACAAAACTGTAGATCATTAAGATTTTTGTAAACAGGAAGCTTGTAAAGTAAGCCATGCCTCGCTTAGAATCCAGCTCAGTTGCTAACAAATGTGCTGACCGTTACACCCAACAAAGAGTTTTTAAAAGAAAAGCACAAAACTGTAGAATCATTAAGATTTTGTAAAACAGGAAGCTTGTAAAGTAAGCCAGCTTAGAATTCCAGCTCAGTTGCTAAGAATGTGCTGACCGTTTTTTTTAAGGAAAAAGCACAAGACCAACTGTAGAATCATTAAGATTTTTGTAAACAGGAAGCTTGTAAAGTAAGCCATACCTTCGCTTAGAATCCAGCTCAGTTGCTAACAGAATGTGCTGACCGTTACACCACAAAGAGTTTTTTAAAGGAAAGCACAAGACCAACTGTAGAATCATTAAGATTTTTGTAAACAGGAAGCTTGTAATGTAAGCCATCATTCGCTTAGAATCCAGCTCAGTTGCTAACAGAATGTGCTGACCGTTACACCACAAAGAGTTTTTAAAAGAAAAGCACAAAACTGTAGAATCATTAAGATTTTTGTAAACAGGAAGCTTGTAAAGTAAGCCATCATTCGCTTAGAATCCAGCTCAGTTGCTAACAGAATGTGCTGACCGTTACACCACAAAGAGTTTTTAAAAGAAAAGCACAAAAACTGTAGAATTATTAAGATTTTTGTAAACAGGAAGCTTGTAAAGTAAGCCATCATTCGCTTAGAATCCAGCTCAGTTGCTAACAGAATGTGCTGACCGTTACACCACAAAGAGTTTTTAAAAGAAAAGCACAAAACTGTAGAATCATTAAGATTTTTGTAAACAGGAAGCTTGTAAAGTAAGCCATACCTTCGCTTAGAATACAGCTCAGTTGCTAACAGGATGTGCTGACCGTTACACCACAAATCCACATGAGAAGAATGTCTTTAATTCCTTGCACAATGAGCATTTCCATACCTTTTACAAGTATTCGAGTGAAATGAAGGAATTTTCATTAATGCTCTTGAGTTTATTTTTTTCTTAATCAGGAGAATGTAGAATAAGATGATTTTCAAGAACAAATTCTAATGATGGTTCAGAACTAACATATATTATGTAAGCAGGAATTCATTCAGTTTGCTAAATTTCAGTTTGGAAATTTTTGATTTAAAATCGATTATTTTTAGTATCCCCTGGATTTTTAGTCGCATATAACCAGGAATATTCTGATAATTAAAACAAGTCTTCAAAAATTACTAAACTGTGAAAGTTTAGCCATTTGTTTAAAACAGTGTCTAAGTTAAGATTTTGATACGCATAATTTACTCCTTTTTTCAATTTTGATTTTTTTTTTGTTCTAAACCTATGAACTTTATGTTTTGTGTAGAAATATTTTCTTCCCTATCCCGAGTCAAGAATAGATATATTGTGAACGTCGTAATAAAATACAGACCCCGTGATTATTTTATTTTTCGATGCATATAAAATATAAATATAAATGCATATAAAAATTATAGTTGTATATGTATATAAAAATTATAGTTGTATATGCATATAAAAAATAGAAATGCATATAAAAATTATAGTTGTATAAACGTTATCTAAACGTAAAAATTACGTTACATAAACCTTTTAACAAATAAGCCGTTGTAGGAAACAAAGCTAAATATGTGGAAAGGTGGTGGTTGCGCCATGAATTTTCATGATTATTGTACTAACTTTTAGAGGATATTTTCAGATTCCGCATGTATATTGTTTATCCAAATATTGTCAAAAGTAAATCAGCGAAATTCAAATGTATTTTATAAAAATTTCTATTATAAATGCTAAATTATTTTTTCGTATTTGAACAATTTTGATGCTAATTCCCGTTGTAGTTTAAAAGCAGACTGCAAAGTAATGCTGTGCTAAATTCCAGATTCAAACTTTGGATTTTTCTTAACGTTTTTAGACTTTTGTATCGGGAAAAAAGATAATTTTTCCGATTTATTATGAAGTCGCTTCCATTATTTATCAATACCAAAAGAAAATTTAGACGCGAAAGGCGCTTTTTCGGAATGTTAAAATGTGGTATCCAACGAAGATCATATTTAGAATGTGCAACACATTGCTGTGAGACTCCATGAGATTTCTGTAAAGTATGTATTAAGTAAAATTAATTAAAAGTGTTTTTATTTATTTGTTAATTTAAAAAACAAATTCCAGGTATAAAAATGAAAGAATTTCAGTATGTGCACTATTAACAGAAAGATATACGTCAAAGCGATACTCGGTTTCGGTTCATATCCCTGGTAAGATTGCCTGGCATTTGTAATTGCTCTTCTGATTTTGTCCTCGAAGATAGCCAAGGTTATTGTAAACCTCATTTACCACAAAGCCCTAGAAAAGGAGTCTTAGTGGGGTGTATTTTACCCAACGGATGCCGCTTGCCCTGATGGCAATGTATCATGAGCAATTCGCTTATTTCAACATCATTAAGCCAATCGAGAATATGCTAACTAAAGTATTAGAAAACTATTTCCTAGACCTCCCCCATCCCAAAGTAAATTAGTCGTTGTTTTCAAAACAGAAGAGTAGCACACTAAAGTGAAACATAAAATTAGCAAAACAATAACCTTGTGTTTGGCGTAGATTTAGTCAAGATCTCAATGGTTTTCAAGGGCAAACAGGTAAGGTCCCTCTTTATCAGAAGCAAAGAAATATGCAACGAAGGAAAAACCATGTTTTATTTATACCCTGCAGGAGCAAAGCGAACGAGAAGGCAGCATAATCTGTAGGCAGAAATAGTAACGCAATTGAAAAATTAAGTTAATAGGATTTTAAAAGAACTTAATTTTTTTTCAATTCCGTTGCTATTTTTGCCGACAGAGGGAGCTACCTTCTCTTTCGTTTAGCTGCCATATACATAGCCCAACAGCTGCCGAGCGGTGAAGTCGCTGAACACCGGTAGCTCGATCCGAGGTTCAAATTTCGCGAACGGGCTGACTGCATGGGCGTTTTTGTGATTCTTCCCATATGTAACGTGTATACAAGCCAGTTTCCCTCATAAAGTCCTCCACAAAGGCATCTCGGTCTTCAGATAGCCCTAGAGACTTTGCTGTAGTCACATAAACCAAACCAAGATATGGGCTATAATTACCGCCGTTGCACCTGCTTTCCAGTCTTGCGGATTTCCCTGCTCCTGACGAAGAGAGACCTGTGTTTGTTTGCCCCTGAAATCGATTGAGATCTTGACTAAATCTACGCCAAAAATAAGGTTGTTGCTTTGCTAATTTCATAGCCGTTGTTTTACAAAAGCAATGGCTAAAGTCTCATTCAGTGACTGAGTAAGACTTATATCTGTCATTTTTAGGAAGTGTTGAAGCAGGATTGGTTTGCAAAGAAACGCTTACTCATTATTAATAAAGTACTGCAAATAAAATACACATATGTTTCATTGTCCAGCGTGTTTAGAATTGCCGTTTAAAATTAGAAATTAATTTTACGCATCCATTTTTTCTTAATCAGGAGAATGTAGAATAAGATGATTTTCAAGAACAAGTTCTAATGATGGTTCAGAACTAACATATATTATTAAGATATATGCTTTAAGATCTCAAAAAGCAACGACTTAAATCAGTTATAAACGGCTGTCGATGTTTTCCAGGTTTAATCGTCTCTACGCCAACTGGCAGCACAGCATACGCCGTGGCAGCCGGGGCCTCTATGATCCACCCCAGCGTGCCTGCCATCATGATCACTCCTATCTGTCCACATTCCTTGTCCTTCAGGCCCATCGTCGTACCAGCGGGGGTCGAACTAAAGGTAATTTATTCATTTTTATGACGTATTTCATCATTCTTAGTGTGCCAAGAGTAGAAAACGATGAAAACATACTACATTTACTTGCATAATTTCCATTTTTTTCACTGATTTTAGTACAGTCTGTCTGTCATAAGAAAAGCTCTCGCCAGTTAGTCTGCAGCTGTCTGTTGTCGTAGAAACGAGCCTTGACCCATTTTCCGTAGGGGTGTCTTGAAGACGAATAACTCTTTTCCCCTCCGCCAACAGTCGCCGAAAACAAAATAACAATAAAGCAAGCTTTTGTCGCCCCTGTTTGAAAATTACTAGCCTTGTTGCTATAGCGACCACCGCCCGCCAGAGACTGTGGCGGGAGCTACTCTTCTCGTAGACAGACAGTACTCCTTTTTTAGTGGTTTTAGTTCTGTGGGCATTGCTTGTACATTCTAAGCGAGGAATCTGGCTATGCAGAGTTTGGACGGTCTTCATGGGACAGCCTGTATTGCCGAACCGATGCAAAAAAGACACAGATGTAATTACCAACAACGGATACCTGCCTTCAGTCTGTTTAGTCATGTGTGTCTGCGTTAAGAAAGAGTTTTGCACAAAATAAAATTGTGTTAAATCGGCAATCTTTGCTTCTACCATCCTTAGTTCACCGTCACTCTGTCATCAGTTTCTGCATCAGCAGCAGGTAAATCTTGCAAATATTGGGCGAAGGGGAGGCAACCCTAGCCCTTGGATTCTTATTGCAAATCTTCGTCGAAATGCTGACTTCTTTTCTCTTCCTCTTGTCTGAAGGCCGTGCTTAAGTGCCGTACTTAAATATGATAAAACACTCTGTGGAATACAAAGTAATCAAATTTAAAGCTAAGTATAAATAAATGAATGAATATAATCATTCTCATTCTTCTTCACTTTTCGGGACCACATTTTAATCTTAAATCGTATCAAAGAAAATTACATATATAAAATTTTTTTAAAAATTAAAAAAATTTAAAATAAAAAAGGTTTCAGATTTTAAATTGTGTCCAAAGGGACGTTTTTTTAGCATTTTGTGTGTTACCTTTATTTATTAAATATCATGTTCTTCACACATAAACCACAAAATCCAGTTCAAGAGCAATATAAAAAAATAATTTTAAATTGAGCGTAATTCTTTAGAATTTCCGATACACAATCTCACGCACTGGAGATAATTTTTTTTTTTTTTTTTTTCTGTACAACGTTGTTGCCATTGCTCGCTTTGGAATCCTTGAGTTTGCTAATCAAAAATTCGTTAAAGTTTTAGAAAATATGAAATCAACAATAAAACAAATTCCAAATTTCAAATTTGGGCTTTAAGATGCCCATATTCGTAGTATGATTGCGTCATTCAAAATTCAATAGTTCTAGCTACCGTTGTTTTATCACAATGCGAGAAAAATGCATACATTAATGCAGATTCTTCATTATTTAATTTCTTCAAATATAATACAGGGCGATAATATTTGGTGGCAACAGTTTGAAAAGTTAAGCGGACATCCAGAATGATTCGACTCAAATCGCAAAACGAAAACAATAATCCTTCAGGAACAAAGCTCCTTTGGAGTAATAGTTTTAGAGAAATGAAGCGCTGATAATAAAACAATTTAATATTTTGTTCTGATTTTATTCTAACTATTGTACAATTGTACTTTATTATATAATAATTAAATATTGTTTATAATTAAATTTATGTAACACAGCAAGATGCATTAGTTTTGTATTATGTACTAAACCACTGGCTATCAGGATATGACGCTTGTTGGGGTATAAACGAATATGAAAAGGTTATTTAAATGCTAAACAAAACACTTATGTAATTTCCATATCTATAGGTGAGCGATTACTAAAATTGAACTGGCTTAATTCTGAAATTTATTACTGAAATACTGACATAAATGACTAACAATTTACATTATTTACAATATAGTTGCTACCTACTGATTAATGCTGAAAATACTAAAAATACATAGGCAACAATTTATTTTATACTGAAAATAAATAAGTAACAATATTTAATACTGAAAATAATCCTTTGACCGCAACTAACAATGCTGCTATTTCAAGGTAATTCTGAACGTAGGAAACTAAAGAATAGGATTCTTTTTTGCGAAACTACTGCAAGACAAACTAAATATTCATCTATATTTCTTGAAAATTAATCATAAAATGTAAGAAGAGATTTTTATTTCCGAGTAAGTACGGTTATGAATATTTTGCCATGTAAGGATTATGTTAATTTTATTAACAGTTAAAGTTCCTTTCCTGTCAAATTTTTAACTTCAACTACTACTTCCGGCTACTTCTACTTCCGGCCAGAACGTAGTTTTGGATTCTTGCTGAGTATTTAATGAGGAGAAGCGGTATTTAAACCACGAAGTTACTTACTGAGTCAGAGAGAATCAGAGTTTCTGATTTACGCGCGTCTGCCTTTTTGGCCACTCTCTCTCTCAAAGCTGTTATTACGCTCGGCCGTATTCAAGCCCTTGCTAAGCTTCGTAATCAAATAAGTTAAGGGGCAACTCGATTTGAACCTTGATAGCTTCGGCTATACTTCTTTAGTTAATCTTAGTTTTAGTTTAATTCTTAGTCTTTTAAGTTCAAGTCCAAGTGCGGGCTTTGCTTGTACACTCCCAGGCGGAGTTTTGTTAAATCTTATTCAAATAATAAAGAGTTAGTTACCCTTCTATCTTGTTGTTTCTTGTCACCGAACTCAAGCGATTATTCGCTTATCAGTTCTTAGATTCTTCACTTCCAACATTAATTTAGATTTCCAAAGTGAGGAACTCTACAGCCATAAAATGTCTATAACTACGATAGCAAAACTCTAATACTTTTAGTTTAATAAAGGTGCCGTATCAATCACAGGGAAAAAATCTATTGTGAAAAAGCTTTTTAAAACAATTGTTGGTATCTGATTTTAGATACATAAATTCATTAAAGTGCTGTTTTTCTATAACAGATCATGGTATCACCAGATTCTCGGAACCTAGCTTGGGTGTCTTTTGACGGCAGGAATCGACAAGAACTTCGTCACGGTGACAGGTAAGCTTTGACCACTTTATTTTCCGAATTTACATAGACAGCAAGACAAATAACACACTTGTATTATAGTTTTTATGTGCAACAAGAGTTCCACATAAACTAGAATAGACCCTATAAAAATGACCTGGCGAATTCTCGCACAGGCGTGAATAAAACTACCGACTCAGATGAAGGGTAAAACCTTCATCTGAGTCTTTATTAATTCAAAATACTTTATTAATTCAAAATAGTTAACAGAAAGGCACGGTTTTCGTGCGTTATAAAAGCACCGTCAACTTGCGGTAGAAACTAAACGTAAAATATAATTTAAGTCAAACCTAAATAGTGCAAGATAGCACTTAAGTTACGCCTAATACGTGGACTCACAGCAACCTAACCGGCGTGATACTAAATCTGATAAAGCCAACAGGCTTACTAGCACAACAGCGAAATAACAACGAAACGTGGGCTTGGCTATCGAAACTCGTTCTGAATAAACTGAGAGAATCACCCGTTTAAATAAGCACTTCACTTAACTTTAAATTTACATCCTGGCGAGAGAATGTGAGAGGAAGTTGAGAAGTCTAGAATAGGTATCAAACTTAAAATAAATTTGCTATGCAAAATACGGAAAACCCTACAGTATCCCGATTTAATGAACACTGATTTCGCGTTTTTCCAGATTAAAAAAAATTGTTCTCGAAAAACAAATTGATAAAAAATATTTCGATTCAATAAATGTTTAGAACATACCATTCAAGCGGTATACAATTTAACGAATTGTCAAAGTGCTTCAAACTTTTTTCAGGTTATTACTCTTTAAAGAAACTCCCTGAAAGACAGAAAATTTAATAACTATCTTCAAACTGTTATACAGGGTGTCCCGTAAATGTTGCGACAAACTTCTAGGCGAGCTAGGGCACATCATAAGGATTAAGAATTGCATAGGAACCCATTGTCCAGAAATGTCAGGGGTAAGTGGTAGCAGAGGTAGAAGATAAGAAAGGAAACAAGCGAGTGATTAATTTGCGACAGTCGGAAAAACATGCGGAAATGATCTGTTCAAATGGCTAGGAACATCCAGTCCAAAATGAGCAGGCGCCCCATCATGTTCGCCCCATCATGTTGGAACCACATGATGGAACAAGCTCTCCGTTCGTATAGCGTTCCATGCTCTTCGTATGGGGCCTACCGCTCGAATCAGGCAATAGTGTACAGCAGCTTGAATGATACAACAGATGCTTGAAGTTTGCACCATCAGACGTCAAACATGCCTGACACCGACGGACCATTGACCGCCGGACGTGTTCAAACACACCGGGAGTTTCTTTGATTGTAGCATCTGCGCAGGCGAGTCTTGCCACGAGATCCATTTCAGACGCAACAGGATTCTGATACACGACACTTTTGGATAACCCCCCAAACACACACACACACAAAAATCAAGGTTTAATAAGTCCGCTGAGCGGGAGGGCCAAAGAACCGGTCCACCACGTTCCATCCATCGGTGGGGAAATGATCTGTTCAAATGGCTAGGAACTTCCAGTCCAAAATGAGCAGGCGTCCCATCATGTTGGAATCACATGTTCGCAAGCTCTCCGTTCGTATAGCGTTCCATGCTCTTCGTGTGGTGCCTACCGCTCGAATGAGTCAATCCTCACTTTCTACTAGCACTCTCCTATACAACACCCCGGTACAATGACGTTTCTGGGTAGGTGTTCCTAAGCAATTCTTAATTCTTATGACGTGCTCTACCTCCCCCAGAAGTTTGTCGCAATATTTACGGGACATCCTGTATTTCTACATTCATAAGCTTTAATGTAAAACTATTCGAGAAAAAATCATTTTATCGACGTAGAGTTTACGTAAAATTTACCGATTTCGAAGGCGATTTATAACAGTTATTTTCGTTCTGGAGAAAGAAAAAATATACATTCAACTACAAATCATCGCATGATGATACAACATCGCAGACATAAGAATGAACGAGAAATATCTTTACTTTTTCATATTTTTGAATTCACTAATAATTGTTTTACTGAAAAAAAAAAAAACAGAAGGAAATTTAAGCACTCGAAAACTGAAAATGAGTAGAAAAATAATGCTAGATATATAGTAGTAGTTAATAGATTTTTAACTTACATAGTTAAATATTAAAGGTCATTAAATAATTAATTTTTTATAGAGATTTGCTGGTAATTTTTCGTGCAAAATATAGCCTAAAGATTAGAGAAAGGAAAACGACTAACTGCATTTCGTTTACTTCGCGAGCGTTTTCCATATATACGTGTAACCCTTCTTCGCATGCAAAATGCAGATAGGAATTATCCTCGTTTAGAGCTGTTTTTCTGCCACCAAACTGTACAAATTTACTATAATTTCTTGGTGCAGAAATAATTCCATCACCTAAAGGGATATATAGAATACAATTCGTCATGGTATATAGAAAACAATTCGTCATATGCATACGTATTTAACGATTTGAAATGAATATTATATTATACGATATTTAAGTTCAATGATAAATATGGAGAAAATCCTGAAGTTCTTTAAATCCGGTTTTGAAAGCTTGTCGTAGTTACTTCTCTTCTGCAAGCAAAAAAAAAAAAGAAAAGAAAAGAAATATATATATATATATATGTGATGTATCAGCTTTAGTCGTAGCTTAAATAATCAGACGATAAGTTTGAAAAAAACAACAGGATCCATTTATTATTATTCAGGAGAAATAGCAGTTACAAAAATCAGATATCCGGAGTAAATAAAAAGAATTACTAATAACTTTTTGTATGAAGTTTACTGCATCGTGACATTTAAGAAAAAGCCCTGATATTCCTTTTGCGAGTCCTTTTATAGCCTCTGGAAAGGCGGAGCTTCCAAGAAATGACGTCAGCCTCGTCAGCCAATCCAGTTCGCTTTAAATATCTCCAGAACATTCTAAAACTATACGTGTAGAAAAGGCGGGAAAAACAACTTGACTACGGGGCTGTGGATTTAATTCCACGTACTTTCAAATAAGAGAACGTCGCCATTAAAAATGAACAGAACATACAGTTAGAATTTTAAGTGTATTCTTGATTATGGAATTTTATTACTACAAATATATATACATTTGCTAGTGTAAAAAAGTACTCCTTCATACTGCGGGAAAATATTTAGAAAACTTCAGGTTAATACTAAAAATTTTTAACGAAGTTTCAAACTTGTATTTAATGAAGAATAAATTTATGAATATAGAGCTAAGAATACGACTTATATTAAGTAAGAAAATATAAATCAAACTTAGCAATTGAAGTACATGGATCATGAGAATAATTTTTTCAACGTAGTCTGACAAAAAATAATTCAGTAAGAATTGAAATTTTTTGGCATTTTAAAATATTTTTTTAAAAATTATGTAATAAAAATAGAGTATTATTTCAAGAATTAATATGTATAAATTCTAAAAACACAGCTTTAATTCTGTGCAGAAAACTAAGAGGGTGGCTCCCAGACCCCATACGAAGATATCAATTAATTTGTACAGTCATTAGGGTTTTTGATGGGGGAGAAGTGAAAGATGAGCAATGCTGTCTCCGGGACTCGAACCTGGACATCTCGAATACGCGCCGAGTGTGCTACCGTTACACCACGAAGGCATGCAAGAAGGAGGGAGAAAATAACGTATATACTCTCTCTTTTAAGGGGCGATTGGGTATTAGGGGACTCAGTCGCCAAATCCCGGTGGTGAAGAGTCATCATCCACTACCGTTTAGATAGGTGTAAGTCATTAGGATATTTCGAAGCAGGAGACATGAAAAATTAGCAATGCCCTCACCGGGACTCGAACCTGGTCCTCTCGAATATGCGCCGAGTGTGCTATTGTTACACCACGAAGGCATACAGAAAGGAGGAAGAAAATATCTAGTAAGCTAGATCTAAAATTACAACATTCGCATTATTTTTTTAATGAACGTTCTTGTTGTAATCAATAAAACTAATCTTTCCAAAGTTTTGAATTAAAACATTTAATGGTTTTTTTAGATTAAAATTCGAAAGATGAAGACTGCGTTCGAATCCAAATCTTTTTCAAAATCGAGGGTGAATATCTCATCTTTGTTCAATGCTTTTGATGGGATGAATTTTCTTAGAAATTCATACCATAAAGATATATTTTCTTAGATATTCCTTCTTTTGCAATGTTTTCAAAATAATTCAAATAAAAAATCTCATGTGTACACCACATGACTTCCTTGTACGGAATATTAAATTATACGCATTTTTTCTTGCATTTCGTTTAAACTTATTGGATTGAATTAAATAAACTTCGTCAACAGCGGATAAACCACAATAGAATAAATGCACTCTATTTTACTACAGCGACTATTTAAAATTCACTCTATTTTACTACAGCGACACTCTGGCGCTAGGTTCACTTAACAGTATTATATTTCGTTCATATTATAACTCAGAATGCACAAAATTTATATCATTTAAAGAATTATCGAATCGTTGCCACATGTTCAATTCAAATACTATAATAAAGCTAGAACGATGTATAAAAGAAATTAAGCAAACAAAACAAAAAAGAAACCGTTTTTCACAGACGATTGAGTATTTCTCATTCAATTAATTCAGTTCTTACTTCGCGAGAAGGCAAAAATACATAAAACTTCAAACTATCTATATTAAAAATTACGAAGTAAATCTCAAAACGCTTATTTCCTCGAAAAAAAATTCCAGAAAGGAATTAAGCATGATTTAATTCGGCAATAATAAATGAATGCGTTATCTTTGTTGTTGCGAAGTTTCTCTAGATTGGCAACAAATCCACTAGTTCTGCTGTTTCAAATGTAAAAAATGTCAATGGCCGCCATTAAAACAGGCTTAGCGGCAATTAAACAGCTTTAAAATTGCTGATAATTCTAAAAATATTGCACACAGATTTACTAAATGCATAAAATCCTTAACCGGAAGATAAACAACAATATAATTCAATCATTTTTAAAGAAAAAAAATGTACAATTTACAAACATATAAGAGTAAGAAAAAACTGAGATCACTGAGCCGGGTAACAGAGTGGATATATATATAAATATATTTATATGTACGTTTGGTGCTGCCGATTGCAACCAAAATACGAGGTGCACATCTACATGTTATAGCAGTCCTATATACAAAATTTCAACGTTCTGAGGCTACTCGTTTTTGAGTTATGCGAGATACGTACGTACATACGTACGTACAGACGCCACGAAAAATTCTCTTCAGAATTCATTTTAAAGCAGTTTTATAATTTTTTGGAGGAAAAGAGTATTTTATTCTGTCCTTACGTACAGATATGACGCAAAAACATCGTTAAATTGCATTCGATAGCGGTCAAAATGGATATTTTCGTTGAAATATGCTGCCTGAAACTTTTCGCTATTACAATACTTCCTTTTTACTTCGTACAAGGAAGTAAAAAACCGGATAAGATGCCTTGTAACTGTATTCTTCCCGAAGCTTGCATCAGAAAGTTCCAAGTAAACAAGGAGAATACAGGGACATACAGTAGGGTATGTTTTAATGCAATGTGTTAAAAGTACTTGAAACCTTGCTAAGCTGTTCTGCTTAATTAACTCATATAGCGGAACCAAAACATTTAAATTATGTAGAATAAAAAATGTTAATTCAAAATTAATTATCACTGGTGAGTTTATAGCTTTTGGTTTCAAATTTTATCAGTTCTACCATTCATAAATGCGTCACCGTGCTTGCTTACTGGTGAAGTAGCTGACTGGCGTATCGTCGGTTCTGGGTCCGAATCTCGGACAAGACAGGGATGTTTGTTATTGTATAATATCTTGGCAGCAGGGGACGCTTCAAATATTTTCGAATCGACTGTACTTTTGAGAGGCTGAAAGTAATGAATGACGGAGTTGGAGATCCTTAGATTTATCCTGCTGGGGGGGGGGTTCTCTCTCAAAGCTGGGACAGGTATGGTATTGGTATTATTCAATTATGGCAAAGCACACGAGAGCTATCTGCCTAAAGGGAATGATGTCTTCGTGGAGGACTTTCTAAGGGAAACTGTCTCGTATACACGTTACACATGGGGAAAACCACGAAAACACCCATGCAGCCAGCCCGTTCGCGGGATTCGAACGTCGGAGCGAACTACCAGTGTTCAGCGTCTTTACCGCTCGGCCGCTGGTGGGCCCCAAAGCTGGGACAGAGCTGAGCAAAAGGAATGTGTAAATTGTAAGGTTCCTAAGGTCAGACCAGCAATAGGCAGTTACTACGTCTAGTCCATGAGGAATTTCATGGATTTGAACAAAAGGTCCTCTTATATTAGGAGAATTCAAATATGAATGTATGGTAGTAGCATGTCTACGAAATGATGCTTATTCCTAAAAAGGTTAATGACTCTACATTGCCGATTGAACTTAAAATATGCTGGGAGATAATTCGTTATACCCATGTTTTGGTAACTGGGTCTCTTTTCTCGTCTATCGCTTTTAACTGGAGGGGAGGGAATTTAAAACATTTCTCCAATCTATCCTCTGACAGTACCCCCAGCTAACAGTCTAGAAGTTCGAACGTTAGTTTCCCAATGAGGTTCACCTGATTTTTTTTTGGTAATTCTTCACCGGCAAAACCTAATTATTTTACAAATTAATATAAAGCTCTATTCATAATTAATTTTATGACGGACTTTTATTACAAGGCAACTGAACGTGATATATCTTCTGTTATAAAGAATTGGAAAGAAGAAACTGTCGAAGGGTGGAAGATATTATTTTTTAAGGAAATATATTATGTATATCGTCATAGGATATGTGTCTACGTATTGCTCAGCAACGAGTTAGGGCCCACCAGCGGCCGAGCGGTGAACACTGGTAGTTCGGTCCGAGGTCCGAATCCCGCGAACGGGCTGGCTGCATGGGCGTTTTCGTGGTTTTCCTCATGTGTAACGTGTATACGAGCCAGTTTCCCTTAGAAAGTCCTCCACGAAGGCATCCCTCCCTGTAGGCAGATAGCCCTTGAGGCTTTGCCATAATCACACACACACAGCAACGAGTTATTACACAAGATTTTACCCTTTTTACTTCCTTGTACGAAGTAAAAGGGAAGTATTGTAATCGCGAAAAGTTTCAGGCAGCATATTTCAACGAAAATATCTAATTTGACCGCTATCGAATGCAATTTAACGATGTTTTTGCGTGATATCTGTACGTAAGAACAGAATAAAAGACTCGTTTCCTCCAAAAAATTATAAAACTGCTTTAAAATAAATTCTGAAGAGAATTTTTCGTGGCGTCCGTACGAACGTATGTACGTACGCATTTCGCATAACTCAAAGACGAGTAGCCTCAGAACGTTGAAATTTTGTATATAAACCTCAGAACGTTGAAATTTTGTATATAGAACTGCTATAAGATGTTCATGTGCACCTCGTATTTTGGTTGCAATCGGCTGCACCAAGCGAATATAAATATATTTTATATATATATCCACTCTGTTACCCGGCTCAGTGATCTCAGTTTCTTTATCCTTATATGTTTGTAAATTGTGCATTTTTTGCTTTAAAAATGATTGAATTATGTTGTTCTTATCTTCCGGTTAAGATTTTTATGCCTTTAGTAAACCTGTATGCAATATTTTTAGAATTATCAACAATTTTAAAGTTGTTTAAGTGCCGCTAAGCCTAATAATTTTTTTTTCATGGCGGCCATTGCTTGTTTACATTTGAAACAGCAGAATAGTATATTTGTTGCCAATCTAGAGAAACTTATCTTCGCAACAACAAAGATAACGCCTTCATTTATTATTGCGAATTAAATCATGCTTAATCCTTTCTGGAATTTTTTCGAGGAAATAAGTGTTTAAGTTTTATCTGAATTAACTGATTTTTAAGAACTGAATTTATTGAATGCGAAATACTCAATCGTCTGTGAAAAACATTTTCTTTTTTGTTTTGTTTGCTTAATTTTTTTTATGCATCGTTCTAGCTTTATAATAGTATTTGAATAGAACATGTGGCAACGATTAGATATTTCTTAAAATGATATTTGAATAGAACATGTGGCAACGATTAGATATTTCTTAAAATGATATAAATTTTGTGCATTCTGAGTTATAATATGAACGAAATATAATACTGTTAAGTGAACCCAGCGCCAGAGTGTCGCTATGATAAACAAATAGAGTTAATTTTAAAGAATGCATTTATTCTTGGTTTATGCGCTGTCGGCGAAGTAGATTTAATTCAATCCAATACGTTTAAATGAAATGGAACACAAAATGCGTATAATTTAATATTCCGTACAAGGAAGTCATGTTTTGTACACATCAGATTTTTTTTTCCTTACACGAAATAAAGAAAATACTGTAATCGCGAAAAATTTCATGTGTCATATTTAAACGAAAATAGTTATTTTGACCGCTCTAGAATCCATTTAAAAGATGTGTTTGCGTAATAGCTAAACTTAATTTTAAAGGAAAGCAGGCAATAATTATTATTTCGAATAATTCTAATCCTGACTATAAAAGTTCTACTTGGGATAAATGTGGTAAAATGTATTTTCCTTCCCCTAAAATGATGGGACATGGTATTAAAATGGTTCTACCCCTTTCAAAACGGGAATTTTGGTCAGGGTGCTATTTACCGACGTGGTCCATTAGTGACAAATTGTTAATTCCTTTCTATATTGATAGTTTATTCCGCTTTCTGTTCTTGGAGAAATGACTGATTTCATAAGGTTGTCATAATTTTCCGCAAATTTAATGCAAAACAATGACTTAAAAAGTCTTACACTCAGCTATTTCGCCTTTGTCAAATATCGTACTTTGCTTGAATTTATATCAACTAATTTTATCAATGTATTTAACAATGTATGAGTCAATTGATTTGTTAGACATCTGTAATAAAGGAATTCGGTATATATTTGTACGACCTGGAAAGGGATTTAAAAATATCTAACATTCGAAACTTTGTATCTGTTACAGCCTCCGCGTGACGATGTCCATTTACCCCATCCCGTCCATCTGCGCACAGGACCAGATCAGCGATTGGTTCGACAGTTTGGCCGAGTGCCTGCATTGGAACGTCCGTAAGAAGCAGAGGCAGCTCGACGAGTATTCAGATCTCGTCCATAGCTCTTCCAGCGACACCATCGATTCCCTGGACAGCAGACACGATTCCTAAAACGGTGAGTCCACTTCCTGCTTAATTTTATTTCTTTGCCAAAGACATTAATCTACCTGCCACAGATTTTTAGACATTCTCGGTTGGAGATAGTCTGAACTAAAGCCCTGAAATTTCGCGAAGCAGTCAGTGCTGGATTAAAATTCTATTAAGGGTGTCTCTTCTAGCTATATGCTGTTAAAACTCTTATTTTTAGGTGCCAAGGCCACAGACATACACGCATTATATGCCACTGTTGCGCCGAATACCATATATTGCCGGTATTAAAGGGGGAAGCATGCTGTGAAGTTAAGTTGCACTTAAGGGGTGGTCTATACGAGTGATCACCCAAGGTTCTATCCAAAATGGAGAGCCAAATCTATCAAAATTAATTTAAAGACGTCGTTTTACTTGTTCTAATATACGAATGAGTGAGCGAATGGGATCATTAAAGTCTAGTACCGGTGTCTTCCCCCCCCCCGGCTGGTGGTCAAAATCAACCAACATATATGTATTAAGAAGAAGTTTCGGATCAGTGGTATTTTTATTTTCGAACATTCTATTAGTAAATAATAAAATAAATGCTGCAGGGAAATTTAGAACAAAAGTTTAAATCAAACTAAATTAATAAATCCAGTGTACCGTCTTTCTCACGCCTAGAAGGCTTCATAATAGAACACCATACAATTCATTTAAGATACTTAATTTAAGGATGCTGGAATTATCTGTCTTAATCCTGTGCTTTGTTTATATCTTTGGTATAAAACAAAAGATCATTTACAATTTCGAAGTTTTTTTGCTCTGTTCCTTATATTTACATGATACCATTCAAAATTATTGGAATCCTTTAAAGAAGCACAAACACTTTTAAACTCGAGATTCATCTTCAACTTATTAATTACCATCTTTTGAGTCTAAAATTTTTTAAGTCATGCTTTCCATTACCATATAACTTATTCTTGGCTGAGAATGAGCCACCACATTTTATTTACCAGGGGTATGTTCTGTATTTAAGTTGCACTCCTGATATTTGAATGCTTACCTTATCAGTCTTGACGACAGCTGATTCACGAATAGACTCGAATGATTATCGGCATGGTCTGTATACTCTGTTACGAAATTTCCTTTGAAATACACCTCGACTTCCTAACAGTTGGCAAGACGTCTAGTATTTCTCCTTCAGTAGCTGTGTCATTCCTTTGTCTTTGATTAAAAGACTTACTAAACCGTGCATCCTGCTAACCGTCCTGCATAAGCACAGCTTCTTCTGCTTAATCAGATGTATTGGCAGATAGATGTACGTTACCTTCAGGAACAGGAAATTTCGACGCCGAGGCTTGAATCAAAGCTGCCATTAGGTTCTCAGAAGGTGTATTTACTCCGCTGACCAATTAAAAGTGGACTTTTACTTCTTTAACTTCAACAAGGCTCTGCAATCTCTGCGAAATCTTTCGCAAAATTTCGCAGAGATTCAGAGCCATCTTGAAGCCTAACTAAGTTTAAATTCGCTCCCTGTAATGGTGTAAAATCTTCAGTGTGCTCATCAGTCGGGTTACTCATTACAATTGTGTCATTTAAGTAAATGAAAATTGACCATTCTACAGCAAGTCTCAAAATTATGCCCATTGTTGCTAAACCTTAGCTCGAGCTCTACGTAAAACCAGCTGGTAATCATCTTAGAAATACATGCACACTCGTTATGATGAATCCCATCTTTGGTACTTTCTTCAGGTCTTATATCAGCATGAAAGCATCCAAAAATTACTTCAAATGTCTTGTATCAAAATCCAAAAATCCAAAAATGACTTCAAATTACTTCAATGTCAAATAGTTGATATATATTTCCAAATTATTTCTTTAACTACTGGTTGGCGTAAACTGGGTATTTTTATGATATTAACCTCTTACAGTTGACAGCAAAATACCATGTTCTCTGTGCGTGTGTGGGGGGAGGGGCTACGTTATTCTTCTTCCGACATGAAACCACTAGAGTAGAAACTATTTTCAAGAGTTATCTTTATACGTTTCTCATTTATTTCCTTTTCAACGACATCTTACTCGTAGCCATATTTCATAAGTGCACATTTGTATCGCCACCGAGGAACGGGCTTCTAGAATGGACAAGTGGGCTTCCAGTAACATCTCCGTCATTTCACATGACTTTTGCCGCTCTTTTTAAGCAAGATGGTTAAAAATGTTTTGCCACACAACTTCCTGTGCAAAATAATTGAAGCAGCATGGATTTCTTGTGAAAATTTTCGGTGCGAAGTTAGATCAAATATAAACATATTATATACGTAAATAGTAGAAGTCTTATTCACATTAATAGCTGTTCACTCTTAAATGTATTACCTGCACAAGAAGTACTCTTCAAACAGAATGACTTATTCACAACGAATATATTGAATTTATCCATATGCAACATTTAATGTTAACAATAGATATAATCAGATCATTTACAATATATATTGAGTCTTACACTTTCAAAATCAAAGGAATGGAAACATTGAGATAAGAAAATACTAGATTCATTACAATGCTTCCAGTTATTCTCAATAAAAAATTATACACTTGAATTCTCTTAATCCACAGGTGTTAGTAAATGCATAATATTCGTAGCTTAAAGTCATTTTCTCCATATAAAAAGCGATAATATCCCACAAACATTAATCTGAATATCTGCAAGTTTCGCCAAAGTGAAATGTTGACGATTAAATAAACTTATAAAATGAAGCATTACTATATTTTCTACTAAAATGGTTGTAGCATTTATACGTCATAGATTTGTAATTTCGAAACAAATACAAAATAAGTAAACAACAACATGCGCTCACATGCACAGTTTTAAAGTTTCAGCGTCACAAGAGCAATGGAAGCTCATTCGTTCATTTTTTAAACCCCTCCTTCAGTGCGATATTGATGTGCACTTGTGAATTATACTACCCGTAGAGATTGATCTTCAAAGAGAACTTTAACAGCGTTGTATAAAAATTTAAGGCATGGTTGATTAATCAAAGGGCAAATTTAACGCATGGTTGATTAATCAAAGGGCAAACTGCAGGTACGTTAATCTGAATATCAGTAATCAGAAGTGGGCGGAATATTAGAATTTTACGGTTTGTCTTACAGACGTAGTCCTATCTCACTGATTTCCCAGTTCCGCCTCAATTTTGATGCAAAATATTCCATTTACTTAAGGCGGCTTAACAATATCTGAGTGTACAGGTACAGGTAAAGGGACACGAGTGATGTACCATAAGTGCACATCTGTATCGCCACCGGGGGTCAACGGGTAATGCCTTCCCATACTAATAATTCCCATACTAATTAAAGAATAATTGCAAGATTTACGAGGGTTCACAAAGAAAATGTCGAGGAGATGCGCACCTGAAGTGGATGGAATATTAGAATTTTACAGTTTGTCTTACAGATGTAGTCCCATCTCACTGATTTCGCAGTTTCGCCTCAATTTTGATGCAAAATATCCCATTTACTTAAGGCGGCTTAACAACATCTGAGTGTACAGGTACAGGTAAAGGGAAAGAGTGATGTACCATAAGTGCAAATCTGTATCGCCACCGGGGGGGTCAACGGGTCACCTGAAGCTTTCCAAAATGCGTAGAAATATGTGGAAAATGGTAGATGTCTTATTACGTAGTAATTTAATGAAAAATTCGAGTACAGAGATGAGAAGCTTACATTAGGGATCAATTTATATGTGCATCTTCCCTGTGAAGCATTATTCCACCAATCTTGCCTAAAATTTTGAAGCAAGTTATTTTAGTTGGTATTTGAAATTTGAGCGAAGCCATGGAAGGATGATTTCAGTATCATCTTGAATAAGAGGTACTTTTTTGGCTAATTCATCTGCCTGATTATTATCAAAATGGCTATTATGTCCTTTGGTCCATGGAATTTAAATACGTTGAAGTTTGGAATTAAAGCAGGAGGAGAATTTATGAATCTATGTCGGAAACTAATGGAGAGGAAGGTAAAAGATTCATAACCGCTAAGAAAGCAGCATGAGTCAGATTTTATGGTATATTTGTTGAGAGGTTTGAGAATGGCTTTTCAATTGCTGATTTTATGGCTGAGAATTCAGCGTGGGAAACACTGTTGCTAGTATAAAGATGACTTTTCCATTTGATGATATTTGAAAGTTTTGAAAGTGGTAGATAACTCGGCCAAAGGCCGAAATGACAGATTAAGGAAGTCAAGAAAACTGCCTAAGGATGTGGCCAACTATTTATGTTACACAAGTACTAGTACCAAATTAATAATACTATTCTAAAATACAGAGTAACTTAACAAATAACATTGAATGTACATGCAAACAAAATTAAATAAAATGTACAATAAAAAATACGTTGAGGAACAGAGTCTGAACCAAGTAACACAACAGAAATATGCGGAAAGCCAATCAAATGTTCAATGCAGAATGTAACGGAAACAATGCTTATGATATTGAGGTAAATGGCACTTACATATATTATACTACAACAGTTAACATATTTGTATATTATACTTGTTGCTACATCTAGTGCAGTTGCAAATAAAATACAATAAGGGAAGAAATATAATAAAAATAAATTATCTTCTGTCATAATATTGATGCAATAAACCAATCTATAAAAAATAAGGAATGCTATTGTAAAATATTAAATACAGTATTTAGAGATAGATTATACGGATAATTTGTTATGAATGTGAGTGGATACAAAACTACAAGCATTAAAAAGAATGAGCCTTAATATTAATTCACTTCACAGAATATGTTAAGAATGTTCCATATGCATTTTCACTATTTCACCACGTAATGTAGTAATGTATTGGCAGTATGTGTTGGTCAGTTGACTTCCAATGGTTTGGTCAGTGCCACCTTTTTGTCAAACAGCATTTAAACACAAAGTGATCCGCATTCACACTCACATATGTCATTGTCTCCTTAATAAAATGTGCACAAGCTGGGAAATAGTTTGGAATCCATTAGGAAGTAGGTTAGAGTTAATTTAGTGACTTCTAATTCTGTGCTAACTTTTGACATTAAGCGAAAAGTTTTCTTTCTGCGTCCACTGTATCGCAGAGTTCCTACCATTTATCTAGTAACTTGCACTCTGTAATTAGCTTCAACCTAGATATAGGAAACACCACTGTGACACTGTGCTTGCTGCTATTTTGGACACTGGCAGTTCGTTTGACTAGAATGTCAGGTATGGACAGCTCTAGGACAGCCAATAGTAACCTTTGAATTTGTAGAACTAACTGACTCCTGCAATGGTTGAGAACTTTTCTAAAGATGTCCAACATCTCCTGAGAACTTGTCTAAGGATTAGTCAGTTTGTTTGACTAGAATGTCGGCCTCTTCATTACCCATAATAAATATATGGATTATGGATTGAAATCTAGGATAGTTATGAACACATTTGCTCTAGGACAGCCAATAGTAACCTTTGAATTTGTGGAACTAACGGACTCCTGCAATGGTTCTCACCAATTGCTGTTAAACTGAAGGATTAGTCTGAATGGATAGAAAAGGCTATGGTAGCGGAGGTGGCATATTTAACATCTCCTGAGAACTTGTCTAAGGATCTTCCACCCTCTTCTCTTATCACCACAGAACTCAAGAAAACTTCCGGCTAGGGTCTTAAGACTGCACAGACACGGTACATTTACAAACATACGTTTCTTCTCCGGGATTCGATATCCAACGATACTAACCACTATACCGATTTCAACTATACCGAACCACTATACGAAACACTATACTATAACCACTATACCGAACGCAAAAGTACACTTCAGCCACCTGAAACGCTAGGCTAAGTGGAGCGTCAAAGACATAAAAAAAAATTAAATCGGTGGGTCTGATTTATTGTTCTGAAATTATACTTCTTCTGCTCTCGGGCATTTAGTAGAGTACAACTTGCAGAGCCCCTCGAGCCAGTTCTGTTTAAAGATATCTCCGATGAGTAGGCAGTAGCAACAACTTGGAAAAGAATATAAACATCCAAAGCATTAAGGGGACTCATACACCTTAAACCCCTTATGATCTTCGAATAGGTGACTGTTGCAAGAATTGGATAACTTATTTATTTTAAAAGCAATTACTTCCAACTTTTTACAGCTGACTACATAATATAGCTGCTTTGGAAACTAGTAACCAGAAAGTTTGTGTTGCCACAAATATTTGTGTAATTTAATCTCTTTGTGACAAAATATTTCGCCATGTTTCCACCTTGCGCGCATGATATTCTAAAAATGGCTAACGGTACATACTTGAAATTGGATGGAATTCTTTATATGGGCACTATTTTCTAACTGAACCAAAAATCTGATGAATATTTTAATATTGAAAAATTTTATGGACGAAAACATTACAAATTTTTTTAATAAAATACATTTCATAAACTCAACGCAAATAAAATAAAACTTTAACATGAAATTTTTAGAATTTTAGGTTCACAGTAGTTTCCAAATGTTATAAAAGCCATATATTAAATATGGAATTAAATTATGAAACAGAATATTTTAAACTGTGCGCGCAAGTTGGAAACTTGACGAAAAATGTTCTCACAAAGCGGATTTAATTATAAAAATATTTGTGGCAACACAAACTTTCTGATGACTATTTCAGAAAGCAGCTATATTTTGTAGTCAGCTGTAAAAAGTTGGTAGTAATTGCTTTTAAAATAAATAAGTTATCCCAATTCTTGCAACAGTCACCTATTCGGACATCTTATGGGTTTTAAGGTGTATGAGTCCCCTTAAGTAAAGAAGTCTGCTATTATGTGTTTTTAAGTGTAAGATGACATCTGTGTCTATAATGTTTAATAAAAATAACAAGCAAATAATAAATAATATGTACCTTTTTAACTGTCTTAAGTAGAGACAATCTCAATATTGAAAACAAGCAGAGTCAGAAAAATTTAATTAGACTTTTTTTATCGCTGTTCCTGTTTTTGATTACTTATTTATTGTTTTTATTCCTAATTTCAGGGGAAGCTGAACCAGCTTGTATCTCCCAAAGGTGTCTTTCCATCATAGAAACTTTATCACAGGTGTAAAAAGCGAATCATCCAGATCATTGTTTTGCAATGTTTACTATGCTTCGAAATAGTGTCGTGCTATCATACACTCTTACCATGGAACATTTCTTGCTGAAGGTGCTTGAGCACTCTGACGTAATTTCGAAGCCATATGAACATTCTCATTGCCTAAAATGTTGTATTTTTTTTAATGTATTCTGACTGTAATGGTAAATTCCTTCTTAATTTGAAGTCGCAATATCTTCAAGCTGAGAAAGATACATTTTTATTGCGTCTGTGATTTTCCAGTTGTTGTACTGAAGGATTTGAGACAATAATTAATAAAAATGATTAACAAAGAATATGGTGTTGCTCTGAAAGTCGAGGTAGGTTGTTTATTTTAGAATTACATTCTTAGATTACCTACTTTCTATAATTTTTTAAGCTCAGTGGTAACATTGGGAGGAGACTGAAAAGCAAGAGTGGAGAAATGAGACCGATGTCTCTTTGCTAAAGTTTTCTTAGATGATTTATTTCAGGTCCTTATGAATAAAAGTCACCGATTGTTAGTGACATCGTTTGAAAGGTAAAGCGATGCCGCAACCGGGAAGCAAAACACAAACTAAAATAGAAAAAATACAATGAATACAAAAAGAAAAATGACCATGCATGCAAAAATCACCGCTTTTATTCCCGAGTCTGAAACTTTTCTCATATCAGTGCAATTGAAAAGGCGACATACAGGGGTTGGACAAAAATATGGAAACACCTTTAAAAAAACACGTTTCTTTCCTTAATATGGTGTAGGAAACCCGTTGGCATCCAAAACAGCTTGCAGTCTTCTCGGAATGGATAAATACAGTTCCTGTATGTTTGCCAAGGGAATATTATACCATTCTTCCTGCAAAACGGTGGCAAGTTCAGATAACGATGTTGGCGGTGGATAACGAGAACGCACTTTCCGTTCCAATGTAGACCACAAAGGTTCGATAATATTCAGGTCTGGTGACTGTGGTGGCCAGGGGAGATGGGACAACTCATCCTCGTGCTCAGAAAACCAGTCCTGGACAATGTGAGCTGTGTGAACAGGGGCTTTGTCATCTTGGAAGACACCATCACCATCGGGGAACAAAGTTTGTACCATGGGATGAACTTGATCGGCCAAAATGTTCACATAAGTCTTGGCAGTCATGTGCCCTGACACAGTTATCATGGGGCTAGCAGAGAACCACGATATGGCTGCCCAAACCATAACAGAACCCCTGCCATGTTTCACTCTTGGCAACAAGCAGTCTGTATTATAGGCTTGAGATGGCGTTCTTCCAGACGTAAACTCGGCCAGAAGTGGGAAACAATGTGAAAGAAGACTCGTCAGACCATATTACTCGCTTCCACTGCTCTATAGTCCAGGCTTTATGACTTAAACACCACCTTTTCCTGTTACGGGCATTAGCATCACTGATGAGTGGCTTCTCAATTGCAGCACGGCCAGCAATTCCCTCTTTATGAAGCGCCCTTCTAATTGTTTTGGTACTCACAGGGTTCAATAACACAACATTCATTTCAGCAGTAACTTTTGCAGCTGTGGTCTTCTTATTTTTTGTCACAATTGCCCTTAATGATCGTCTGTCACGATCACTCAGGACACACTTTCGTCCGCGCTGTGATTTAGCAGATGATGTTTTTTCCGCTTTTCAAATATGCGGAATAAATCTTCGATACAGTACCTCTTGAAACACTAAACACCTCGGCTACCTTGCTTACGGAAGCACCTACCATACGTGCTCCAACACTTTGCCCACGTTCGAAGTCTGTTAACTCTGACATAATGCAATGACACAACCTCACATAACAGTACTCCGACAACAACTGAACTGTTTAGCCACATTTACGAAGTTGTATAGGTGGCGTCAGTAGTCAAAAACGCCAGCGCCACCTACATATTTCATTAAAATCAATCTTTCTTTTCAAACATGCATTTCACAAGGTGTTTCCATATTTTTGTCCATCCACTGTATGTCTTACCTAGTGTTACGTAACAGGTTAATATATGCCCTTACATTTAGAAAAGAAGCCTGTTCTTAGTCGTGTTCTATCATCCCTTAAAGTTTATTTTATTAATTTTGAAACACCTTGTATAAAAATTATATTAAATTTCTTCACATTTTGTAGCACTTATTCGTTTGATCTTTAACTTTCAGTATTTGCTGTATATTTATAATGGCCAATTAAAAAAAAGATTAAATAGGATCAGTTAAACACTGTTTATTCTTCACTACTCGATACTACTCTGTACTACAATTACAGGTACATGTTCTATGTTACAGTTACAGCTACATATATGACATCTTCCCTTTTAACAAAACTAAAAGTTTACACAAACTCTCGGTGCTACCCGATTGAGTAACATAGCTTTGTCCAGCTGTAGAATCTAGCAATACAACATCTCTTTCAGAATCTGGTGACATTTCTGTCAAGTGTAACCAGAGCTTATGTTCCAAAATTTAGAAGTGCCGGAGGCCTATGGAAGACTGTGAGGAAGGAAAGAAAAAAAAAAAAATTAAAATAATTAAATTATAAATTTAATTTAAAATTAATAATAATTAAATCAATTATTGAATTTAAATTAAGAAAACGTAAAGAGATAAAAAGAAATATAATTAATAATTAAATAAATTTTAAATAGTTAAATAGAAAAAAAAAGTATCGGACTTTGTCTTACTTGGGGGCGTTGGCTGGAATTACAATTCCACTTAGATGCTAAAAAGCAACTCAGCGATCTGCGTCTGAGTTTAAGCCCTGATTATACGTAAGATGTACTAATGCAAGGGATGACAGATACCATTTATTTTTGCAGCACACCAAGGAAAAAACATAAAACGGTTAAAGTTCCACTAATTGAGAATTCTGGAAACAGTACGGAGGCTGTTCGCACAATTTTTTGACAATTTTGGTAAGCGGTAATAAAAAATCATTTGCAGCAAAAGAAGTAATTGCAATTGTACTATGTTTTTCAAACGCAAAATTATCGTCTGTGGCTTGAATGTTTTGCTTTTATTCAAAATGGCGAATTTAACAAAGCAGTGGTTCGAAGGCTACATTTACGCTCTTTCCGAAGAGAAATATGCATACTCCGTTATCCAAAAACGATGTGAGAGTCATGGTTTTGTGATATCTAAAGCGTCAATAGGTAATATCATCAACAAGAAAGAAAAAAAACGTCAAATTGGAGCCTCAAGTGGGACAAAAATTCCAAAAAAGTAACCAAGGAAAAAAATGGACATCTTCGACTATTGCAAAGGTACGTTGTTTAATGTTAATAGTTCGGGAAAAAAGCTGTTCGGGAGGAATAGGATAGAATACCTCGTCTGCCACTTCAAAAGGCATTATTATCCTGGAAATTGCGGTGTCGAAAGATAGTTCAGAATAAGGAATGTCAAATAGAACATTTAACACAAGAATTTTATGTAATTTAGTTTTGTGAATACAATATACATCGTCTAAAAAATGTGAGAAGAGCCTCTGTATTTGCTCTTCTCGCTTTGTCGGAGGTGTTCCTTTGAGTTTCAATTTCGATACTTTGAATTTGTGTCGTAGTATAGCTATGTATATTAGGTATTACCTTTTTTATAGAATATTATTGTAATATTTATATAAAATAATAAATTATATTTTTGTTTATTCACTTATTTTAGTAACGTCTTAAAGAGTAAATAAAACTAAGTTTAAAGAGTAATTAAAAGAGTAAAGAGTAATTTAAAGTTTAAAGAGTAATTTTAAAAGTCTTAAAGAGTAAATAAAAGTAACTTTAAAGAGTAAATGCCAAGTTTTCTTGCACTACGTTCACACATCAAGAGCTGTGAATTTCTCTTTAATCTTTTTTAGAATTAGTATATATTTATAAACATAAATTTTTCCATCTAATGTATTTTTTCAAGGTTGCAGAACAAAATGCGAATCCTGTCTTATAGAAAAACCTCGAGCGATATCGGATATTATTTTGTCAAATTAAATAAAAAAATCTGATGTGTACACCACATGACTTCCTTGTACGGAATATTAAATTATACGCATTTTTTCTTGCATTTTATTTAAACTTATTAGATTGAATTAAACCTACTTCGCCGACACCCGCATAAACCACAATAGAATAAATGCATTCTTTAAAATTCACTTTGTTTACCATAGCGACACTCTGGCGCTAGGTTTACTTAACAGTATTATATTTCGTTCATATTATAACTCAGAATGCACAAAATGTACATCATTTAAAGAATTATCTAATCGTTGCCACATGTTCTATTCAAATACTAATAATAAAGCTAGAACGATGTATAAAAGAAATTAAGCAAGCAAAAAAAAACAAAACAAAAAACTAAAAAAAAAAAAAAAAGAAACAGTTTTTCACAGATGATTGAGTATTTCTCATTCAATTAATTTCAGTTCTTACTTCGCGAGAAGGCAAAAATACATAAAAAGTCTCAAAATATCTATATTAAAAATTACGAAGTAAATCTCAAACGCTTATTTCCTCGAAAAAATTCCAGAAAGAATTAAGCATGATTTAATTGGCAATAATAAATGAATGCGTTATCTTTGTTGTTGCGAAGCTAAGTTTCTGTAGATTGGCAACAAATTTTGCAACAAATCCACTAGTCTCCTGTTTCAAATGTAAACATCAATGGCCGCCATTAAAACAGGCTAAGCGGCAATTAAACAACTTTAAAATTGCTGATAATTCTAAAAATATTGCACACAGATTTACTAAAGGCATAAAATCCTTAACCGGAAGATAAAAACAATATAATTCAATCATTTTTAAAGAAAAAAATGTACAATTTACAAACATATAAGAGTAAAGAAACCGAGATCACTTAGCCGGGTAACAGAGTGGATATATATATAAATATATTTATATACGTTTGGTGCGGCCGATTGCAACCAAAATACGAGGTGCACGTCTACATGTTATAGCAGTCCTATATACAAAATTTCAACGTTCTGAGACTACTCGTTTTTGAGTTATGCGAGATACGTACGTACGTACAGACGCCACGAAAAATTCTCTTCAGAATTAATTTTAAAGCAGTTTTATAATTTTTTTGAAGGAAAAGAGTATTTTATTCTGTCCTTACGTACAGATATCACGCAGAAACATCGTTAAACTGCATTCGATAGCGGTCAAAATGGATATTTTCGTTGAAATATGCTGCCTGAAACTTTTCGCGATTACAATACTTCCTTTTTACTTCGTACAAGGAAGTAAAAAGAAAAATTCCGGAATAGCATATGGAAAGTGTATCTTTGAAAATAAAGAGGGAAGAGTTCAAAACTTTCTGATTGCGATGCCCTGTCGCTATAA